TGGGACAGCCCTTCCCCGGCCCCTGCCCGCGGCCCTCACAGCCCCCCATTCACTAACTGCTTCCCGTAGCGTTTGTCTGGTGTAACCCCAACCGCCCCGACATCTGGCAATAAACTGGGAGACCCTGGCAGCCCTGGCACTGCAGGCAGGGGAAGAGGGGCACTGGCAGTGGGCAGCTGGGTGGTGAGATGTGGGGTGGCACTGGCCTTTAGGGGACAAAGGTTTGAGGGGGACAGGGTTCAGGGGTTCAGAGACACCTGGGTTCCTCTCTTGGGGTGACATGGAGGGGACAGGCTGCCGGAGCAGTGGGGTCTCCATCCTCCTCCACCACAGGATGTGGGTGCCCACAGGCTGTACCAAACCCAAGTTCACATGTGGGACTGGAGCACTCCATGCAGCCAGGGCTGGCCCTGCTTATCAGCCCCATGGGGCAAATTTCGGTCCAGAGGCTTTGAGAGTCCTGACTGTCACCGGGGGTCGGTCAGGATCCAGCTGTACTCCACCAGGAGCTACTTGTGTCGGGGCTACTTGACTTCGGGGCTCCCTGCCCTGTGCCACGGGAACAGCCCTGGGCTGGGGAGGGCTGTGTGGACAAGGGGATGAGGCAGCTCGTGGGCCTGGGCATGTAGCCAGGAGAAGCCAAAGGCTCAATCTGCCCCAGATCCCTTGAGCTGCCTAAGCCCTGTCCCAGTGGGTTGCCAGCCAGCGGGGTGCACGTGCCCTGTACCTCACACTAGCAGATCCCAGGGAGGCCAGTTCCAGTCTGTGCCATGGGAACCCACATGGAGCCCCAAGGAAACCACTGGCATGCATGTTTGGAGTGGCTGATAGCCATCCCTGTGTCCTGGCTGGGTGTTGGCGTCCTGCCATACCCAGTGTCCCACCTCCAGCAGCACTGTGGCCACCCCAAGGTGTGTGGCTGTCCTGCCCATGAAGGGACAGGGGGAAAAAGTGTCCCCACCTGTCCCAGCCATCCTCGGGCACAGGGCTGGAGCAGCAGTGCCATGTCAGGTGTCCATGTCCAGTGCCTGGGAGCACCATGGTGCCAGAGGCTCTTGTTTCGGGGTGCTGACTCACCCCACCACAGTACCCTCTCACCCCGCTGGGGCAAGCCGGCAGTTCCTGCCCCACCGGCAACACACACCATAATTAGTGCGGGCAGGGCGGAAGCATCACTGATAATTGGTGGTGACTCGTTAGTGCTGGAGCGCCACATGCCCAGGGCTCAGCAGGACTTTCCGGCAGGGCTGGTTGGCGAGACTGACTGGCATCCCGGTGCACCGACCGGAGTGCGGGGCCTGGCTGGCTCCCCAACACCAGAGTAGGGACAGGGTTGGGTGTGGGGTGTGGGGGCGAGCACTGTCATCACCTGCGCTTCGTGCTGCAGCACGCCCCGGTCCCGCCACCACTTCCTAAAAGGCACAGCTTCAGGGTGCTGCTGGCACAGACGGTGAGAGCACTGGGACCAGGCAGAGGTGGGAAAAGGACAGGGGATAAAGGGGTGCCAGGGGTTCCTTTTGCTGGCTGGGCTCTCCCCACGGGTCTCCTGTAGCACCCACGTGACCCCATAGGAGGGGACTCGACCTGCGTTGTGCCCTCGCAGGGCAGGTGCCCACAGCACCATGAACCGGATCACGGTGTATGAGCGTGCCAACTTTGAGGGGCTGAGCCGGGAGTTCACCTGCGACGTGCCTGACTTGCATGAGCTGGATTTTGGGAACTGCATCGCCTCCCTGAAAGTGGTGGGGCAGCCCTGGATCGCCTACACGGATGCCAAGTATGAGGGGGAGCCGCATGCCTTTGAGGAGGGCGAGTACCCCTCTGTGGAGCGGCCCAACAGCTTCTCGGCACTGCGCCTCGTTCACCACGACCTGGGGGACCCACAGATCACCCTCTACGAGCACCCCAACTTCCAAGGCGCCTTCAAGGTGGTAACAGAGGAGACCAACTTGGCGTATGGGTACTTCAACGACCGGGTGGCCTCCCACGTGGTGCAGCGAGGAGTCTGGCTGCTTTACCAGAACCCTGGCCGGGGTGGCTGGCACTGCCTGGCATGGCCCGGGGAGCATCTCGCTGACTACAAATTGGAGCTGAACTTCCAGGCTCGGCTGTCCCACCTGCGCCCACTGCGGCCCGGGAGGCCCCTGGTCTCCGCACGTCTTCTTTGGGAGCAGAAGCGGGTGGAGGAGGAGCGGGAGGTGCTGGTGGATGAGATCGAGGGGGTGAATGAGACAGAGTCGGAGCAGGCGCTGGCAGCCAGCAGCAGCCGGGAGTACGGCACCACGCTCTGGCAGAGCTTCCACTTCAGCAATGCCACCAGCCTCAAAGCTGGGCTCTCCTTCACGCTGACTGTGGAAGCCTCCAACATCTTCACAGTGCAGAAAGGGCACAGCGAGTCCAGCACCCGCCGGCAGCGTGTGGAGGTGCAGCTGCCGGCCAAGATCCCCCCACGCACAGCGCTCAGCATCCAGGTCCTGCGGAAGGAGGTGACGCTCTCTGTCCCGGTTCTGCTCACCATCACCCAGAATGAGGCCGTTCGGACGGAGATGGGCGAGTACCGGAGCATATCAGGGACCAACGTCAGTGCCCGCTACAGCTTGAAGCCACTGCCAGCCTCAGGCAGGGAGCAGGCAGCCACCGAGGGGACAAAAACAGTGTCTGGCACCAGGATGGAGCTGTAGCTCTGTGCTGGGGCCGGCCAATGGCTCTGTTCCCTCCGTGGTGTGGGACCCCCTTCTGTCCAGTGATTCTGGCTGGCAGGACCTGCCAGTGCCTCCTCCCAGACAGTGTTTCCAATAAACCCCCTTCCCCAACCACTCAGGTCTCTGCTGCTGCTGGGGCCGGGATGGGAACGGGATGAGGTGGACACTGGGCTGGGAGTGCACCGGGCTGGGGGACCACATGGGATTGGGGGGGACACAGGGCTGGGGAGGACATCGGGCTGGAGGGGCACGGGGCTGGAAGTGCCAGGCAATACCAGGCTGGGGGAGCTGGCGGGGCACAGGGAAGAGCTGGGGACACCAGGCTGGAGAGGACATCAGACCGGGGGAATAGGAGGACACACTGAGCTGGGGCTGCCAAGGGTACACCGGTCTAGGGGAGCCTGGGGACACCGGGTTGAGGGGTGTACCGGGGCAGCTGGGGGGACACGGG